AAAGGCCCAGACTCTTCAGCCTTTCATCATAGGGAAGGTTCTCCAGCCCCCTAATCATCTTGGCTGCCCTCCTATGTACTTTTTCCAGCTCTTCAATGTCCTTTTTGAGATATGGTGACCAGAACTGTACACAGCATTCCAAATGAGGCCGCACCATAGATCTATACAGGGGCATTGCAATATCAGGCGTTTTATTCTCAATCCCTTTCCTACTAATCCTTAGCATAGAGTTTGCCTCTTTCACCACTGCAACACTCTGGGTTGACACTACGACCCCAAGATCTTTCCCCCTCTTAGTCTCAGCAAGTTCAGTCCCATTAGCTTATACTTGAAGTTGGAATTTTTCATCCCAGTGTGCATCACCTTGCACTGAGAGCTGATCCAAGCCCAGCTTCAGTGGCAGCAGAGCCGAGCTTCTCCTCCAAGGCCATCCATGGCGGTGGTGGAGACTGGCAACCCCTCTGGGCTCAGAGCAGCTCCCATCATGCTGGGGACATTGCATGGCGATGCTCTGATTTTGGGGCAAAACTCTTAAGGTAAAACCAGTTTTAGACCATAGAGTTTGCCCTCAAAGCAGAGTGTCGCCGTGCAGTGTCCCCTATTGTGATGGTGTCTGTTCCGGGTGACATCATTGCATTGGGTGACATCACTGCACATTGCACAGCAACATCACTGTTTGGGAATGGGGTCTCCCTGCTGGCCACTTCGTCAGTGGTGGGCAGAAGCCTGGAAAGCCAGGGGAATCCCTGCCAGGACCTAGGGACTGGCAACCCTAGGTCAGGTTAAAATTAGAATTGGCATTAGGGTTGCCAAGTCCCTGCTGTACGTACAGTGGGGGACTCCAGTGTTGCTCTGGGAGTGTGCGCGCACCGCAACCACATCACCCGGAAGTGATGCAACCATATTGGGCACGCTGGGGGCAGGGCCAGAATCATCCGTGGGAAAACCATAGAGTTTTCCCTCAGATGACCGTGGCCCCGCCCCCAATGCGCCCGACGTGACTGTGTCACTTCTGGATGACGTGCTGATGCTGGGCACGTCGTGTGCTTTGGGGGTGGGGTTCCCCCCAGGGCCCAATCCACCGGCGGTGTGTAATGGGTCTCTGGGGCGGGGTTTTCCCCGCCCCCCGGGGGGACTTGGCAAGCCTAATTGGCATCTTAAGGTGGATGAGATTCTTGCCTTGCCTAACCTGGTGCTTTAAGCAGCTCCTTATCCCTATGGACTTCAGATGAAATGGACCAGAACCAGATTTTCCATTGCCAGTTAGTTTCTTTATCTAACTTAGTTGTCTCCACTTTAGGTTTGTAGAGCTGTGAACACTTAAAATAGAGAAGGGATCGCTAACTCTTATTAGTAACCCTGAGACAGCTTTTTATTTAGTCTCTTTTTACTTAAATTTTCTACAGTTAGCAAACTTCAATATCTTCTTACTCCTTTTGAATTAACCATGTAAAGATGTGCCTTCGCAAATGAACCCACAGAAGGCTGTGGTTGCACTAAATTTACCCCATCTAGGTCTGAACTGTGTGGGAAACTCTCCACAGTTAACAACAATCAATTTAATATCCCCCATACAGTAACAGTGCTTGTTGGTATTAGACATTCTGAAAGGAAGTTTCCTGAATCCCTGATGTTACAACTGGATTTTGGCTGGAACACCAAGTCAGATTCTGATCTCATTCTCAATTGGTGTCGTGACCATGTAGCCTGTTCAGCAATTTTCACCTGGCTTTGCCCCAGTTTCCCACTAGTTTTACTGTTGTTTGCCCCACTTTGCTTGTTGTGGGAAGCCGTGGGCTGCCTGGGCCTGTGGAATGCTGCTGTTTTACAGCCTAAGAAAGCAGCATTAACAGCATGTTGATTTTTTTTCTTCCTTAGTGCAGATTGCAGCAAGCTGCTTTGATCAGGCAGAGTGCTATTAATTAAGTGCCTGAAGCCCCAGTTGATGGAATGTAGTAAAGGGGACTAAGTACCCTGCCATGCTTCCAGTGAAGAGTTTGGAAGTCTTGCTTCAAAATCTTTGTCTTGTTTGCTTTATTGTTCTGCACATTGGTTAGAACACAACATTCTAATAGAGGATAGTTGGTAAAATGAGGCTAATTCTCTGATTCTCAGGCAAGCAGATGGTGTTTATTGCATGATGTTGGATGTGGTTTGGAGGCTTCTAGGAGCTGCGGTGGCTCAAGTGGTTAAGATGCTGAACTGCAGGCTGTTGAAGGTCAGTAGTTCAGCAGTTCAAGACCCGGATGCCGCAAGATGGGGTGAGCTCCTGTCTCTAGTTCCAGCTCCTGCCAACCTAGCAGTTCGAAAGCAAGAAATTTTGCAAGTAGATAAACAGGTACCACTTCGGTGGGAAGGTAACAGCGTTCCATGCACCTTGGTGTTTAGTCATACCGGCCACATGACCACGGAAACGTCTTCGGACAGTGCTGGCTCTTCGGCTTTGAAACGGAGCTGAGCACCGCAACCCTAGAGTCAGATTCGACTGGCTTTCGAGCAAGGGAACCTTTACCTTTACCTTTAGAGTAACCAGATTCCCCCGTGCCATGGGGGGGATGGGGGGGGGGTAGTGTGTGAGATCCAGGTTGGGAAACTCCTGGAGATTTGGTGACATAGCCTGGGTAGGAGAGGGACCTCAGTGGGGTACTATGCCATAGAGTTCCCCCTACAAAGCATCCATTTTCTCCAGGGGAACTGATCACTGTAGTCTGGAAATAAACTGTAATTCTCGGGGATTCCAAGGTCCCACTGGACACTGGCATCCCTAGCAGGCTTCAAAACTCTGTTCCACTCAGTCCTGATTGTGAGATCTACAAGTCAAAGGAAGGGACTTCTTGTGTCCTATTTAATTCAAATTACAAAGTAAATAAAACTGATGTGAAAAGTGAATATATATGAAATAAGCCAGACTTGCACATGTATTGCTATGACAAGCTATGCTTAGGTTACCATGAATGTCCTCAGATTAAAGAAGAAAAGAGGAATGTTTGTTTTTGTTGCTGCTAGTTTGTTCCCAGATGTCCTCAGCACACCTTTCAAGTCAAATGCCCCAACCTCCTCTAGCTAGTCCTTTCCTCTCTCCTGTTCCAAACAAAGTTTGAGTCCAGTGGTACCATTAAGACCCACAAAGTTTTATTCAAGGTGCAAGCTTTTGTGTGCAAGCGCACTTTCTCAGACAAACTGAAACAAAATTTCTTCAAGCCTTACATACAGAAAGATGGTTTGTGTGTGTGTGTGTGTGTGTGTGTGTGTGTGTGTGTGTGTGTGTGTAAGCATCAGGAAGGACCAGTCAGAGTTAAGATGCACAAGTGAAGCTGCAATTGGATCAAGGCGGCAACATCAATGAATGGCAGCAAATTAGCACACACATGCGAGAGCTAACAGGTGTGAGAACAAAGCCTGAGTCCAGCCGCACCACCAAGACCAATCAAGCTCAACCCTGGGGACATGCGAGAACAGCGAGACTCTGCGTGTGCAGATGCACACTTCTTCAAATATATAGAAACAGATTTCCTCAAATATTACATACAAGTGGGGGGGGGGTTAGTTGCCAGGAAGAGTTAATTAGAGTCAAGATGCATAAGTAACTGAGCAATAAATACAGGTAAGATTGGAATAACACATTTGGCAAGACAGAAATAGCAGCAGATTGGCATACAGATAATAAAGGAGTTAACAGATGTGAAAACTAAGTTTGAGTCCAGTGGCACTCTTAAGACCAACGGAGTTTAATTTCTGGGTATAAGTGAGAACTGAGTGACTTAGCGTGTGTAGTGAGACAAGAAGCTGATATCTCTGTTAAGTCCTGGGAGTTCCATTGTCCATTGTCCTGAGTGTTGTAATAACTTGTAATTCAGCCATCTTGCTTGCACATGAAAGCTTACACCTTAAATAAAATTTTGTTGGTCTTAAAGGTGCCATTGGACTCAAATTTTGCTTCAGTCCAACACGGCTACTCACCTGAATCTCTTCCAAATGGTCTTTGTAGCATCAGTTATTCAGCTGTGGTTTTTAAAAGCAGCAAGTAATATGAGTGAAGCCGAATAATGTTTTGAAGGGGTGGTTTGGTTAACTGCTCAGGTCATTATCCCCTGAGTTCCCATTAGTAAGTTCATTAAACATTAGTATACATTTCCCCACCTTTTTCTTACATAGTATTGATTGAAACTTATTGCAGTCTTGTAATGTAGTGCTAACAGTCTAATGATTTCCATGTAAACCAGTCATATTGTAGCGCTGCTGACCAGGCCATCTTTTTTAGGAATGTGGTGCTTTTGATGCTGACAAAATCTGGGGACTCTTCCAGTCCCTATAATCTCTTATTTCTTGCACACCCACTTTACTTTGCTAATCGAGAGACAGGAATTTGTTTAAGCTGTTTATTACTAGCCCTGCTGGCAGTTTTAAAGACTATTTAGCATTTGTGTAGCACTTTAAAGTATTCAGAGTGCTTTGCGCAGTTTATGTTGTAATTCATACAACAGGCTAAGATCTGGGAGATCCAGGTTTAAATCCTTGCTCAGCCATGAAGCCAGTGGGTGATCTTGGGGCTTGTCACATTCTCTCAGCCCAACCTACCATACAGGGTTGTTGTACGGGCAAAATGGAGAAGGGGGAAATATATACTGGTTTGAACTCCATGGAGGAAGGGTAGGATAAAAATATACATTAATAATGCAAAGTAAATGAGTATCACCACCCAGGGCTGCCAACCTCCAGGTGGGACCTGGAGATCTCCTGGAATTGTAACTGATCTCCAGATTACAGAGATCAGTCCCTCTTGGAGAAAATGATGAAAAGCCCATACAAAGTCTTGCCCTCCTGAGGGACAAGTGAATGCTGACAGTTCCAGGTTTTGCTTGAGTCAAGGTTTGTTTTGTTTGTTCAAGTTTCTTTTGGTTTCTTCACTTGCAGGTGGCTGGTGACACAGCATGCCTTTGTTCCTAACCCCTGGACCGAGCATCAAATAGTCACTGGTTTCATTGTTTGCTTCTCGAGAGATGTCTGCAACCAGAGGCAATGGAGAGCACTGGAAGTCCTTGGAATCCGTGGGGATCAGCCGTAAGGAGCTGGCTCTTGCGGAAGCCCTGCAGATGGAGTATGATGCCCTGTCCCGCCTGAGGCAGGATAAGGAGGAGAGCCAGGCTAAGCAAAATACTGACCAGCCTCTCATTACCTGGGATGATCCAATTCTGGATTACAACAAACCTGCTGTCAGGAATGACTGCCATAATATCAAGGTCATGCGAGGCCTTTCTGGCTCAGACCCCACCCTTAATTACAATGCCCTCTCTGACCAGGAGGTTTCAAGAGCTTTTGAGACCAGCAACACTACCTCATCGAGTCTGCTGCCTGAGCCAGATAATCAGCCTTGGTTGAAGGGACCTCTCTCCAGTGACTACTTGTACATCTTTGACAGCTCAGGGGGAGAGTTCCTGACTGAGTCCAGTAGGACATCCCATCACAATAGTGGTGACAGCAGCTCCCCCAAGAAGCTTTCTCCTCCCCCATTGCCTCCTCGCATTGCTATCTGGAATGCTTCTGAAGTGAACCAAGCATCACTTAAAGGGTCTCAACCCAATGATATCAATATGTTTTCCTCAGCCCATGAGAGAGCTGATGGGAAATTGCTAGGCCGTAGAATCTCAGAGGAAGACCCGTATAGCACTGTGGACTATGATGGCATCAATGATGCTATCACAAGACTAAACCTCAAGTCCACATATGACACTGATCTTCTGAGGGAAACCACATGGAGCTGGAAGGGAGGTCGAAGTATTTTTGAGAAAGAAAGCAGTGGAAAGCCAGTTGCTCGCAGCAAGACCATGCCTCCCCAAGTCCCTCCCAGAACCTATGTATCCAGGTTTGGTGAACGGAAGAATGCTGCACCTAACAAGAACCGGAGGATCTCAGCAGATCCGGTAAGACCATTTTCATGTCATCAAAATTAGCATGCATAGCTGAGGATATGGCTGAAAAAACCTGGAGCAGATGGAATGTTACGGGGTGGGGGGGGAGGAAGGAGATGTCAAGGAGTCTCAAGTGGCATTGGGAATTCCAAAGAGAAGGTCTGTTGAGGAATAGCCCACAATCATCTCAAGGTGATAACTTTCTCATGATTTTGGATACAGTATGGTGATTCCAGGTGTCACGGGATTATCATTTATCATCATAAAAGTATTAGTAACTAAAAAGTCCTTGAATATTGTTAGTTTTTTAAAAAATTAATCTTTAACTGTATCCCAGGAAGGGTGGTGGTGGTATAAAAGTGGTATACTGTACCCTTGTCAGTCAAAAGTTAGAAAACATCAGCCCTAAGGAAGTGTGCTGAGTCTTTTACTTGGAACCTTTATATATCCATATAATGATTGCATGTGTTAATTGCGTGCTTTTAGACTTTTTTCCCCTGTAAGCTTTCTGCTGCCTTATTAAGTGTTCAAAAGTAGATATTGCTTTGGGTAAGAATTAAGACTGTGTTATGCATAAAGCTGTGTTTGTACAATTACTGTATGTTAGCACTCACACAATCCTATGCAGAATTACTGCTATCTAAGCACACTGAAATCAGTCCACTTAGGTTTGAATAACTCTGTGTGTAACTGCACAGCAAGACAGGATCACTGGCAGTCTTCAAGCAGCGGCTGGGCAAATACTTGTCAGGGATGCTTTAGGCTGATCTTGCAATAAGCAGGGGGTAGGTCCAGATGACCTATATGTCCCCTTCCAACTCTATGATTCTATGAATAATGGAGTATACAGACATAATGATAGATCTTCCTTTACTTCAGTATTCATAATTTGAATTACAAAAGCAGCTGTAGAGAGTTAGTGTATAACTCTTCTTAAAGCTTTGCAATCTCAATAAATAGGACAAAATGGAATATAGAGATATTAGTAGCAGCCATATTGAAGCCTACTGTTGGAAGCAGTGTACTATTTTTAGTCCACGTGTCTTCACAAGCGGTAGGAAGTTTTCAGTAGAAGAACTGAAGACAGCATAACATTTTCAGAGCGCATGTTAGGGGCATGAAACATACGTCAAGGATTGAAACTACAGATGCATGCATTGTTTACTATGGTATGTGTATGGCTCTTAGCAGGTAAGTCTTCAGGGCACTGGGGCATACTGTATGTGAAGACATTTGTTATCCATGGTGCATTGTCACCTGTTGCTTGAGTTAAGTATTTGCTGTCCCACAAGTTAATGTTTGAGTGAGACAGAAGTGTTTTCTTTTTGACAGATATTTGAACACATCTTCAAAGAAAACCTCTTTTGAGACATCCTCTTATTCTGTCTATAACTAAATTAAAATCCCAGCTATTCACACTTGCACAACAGTCCTTTGATAACCACAGGAATTGTTGACATGGAACAGAAAATTCATAAGACCCCTATAAAAATAATATTGTGGAACTTTTCAGTTGTAACCAGCTTCTAGTTTGTTTCTGGACCTAATTCAAGGTGCTGGTTTTGACCTTTAAGGCCCAGAATGTCATAAGGGCTGCTAACCCCAAGGTGGGATTCTGCTGAGCTCCCTTCCCCTCCCTAGTTGTCAGCCCTATCCATGAGTCCAAAGTACCTGAAGGACTACCTCCCCACTCATATCAACTTGTTTAAGCCCTAACCAATGTTCCCTCTAAGCTGTGGAGTCCTGTGAGCAAAAATTCTACTTTGTGAGCGACTGGCATGAAAGTTGTGAACGAGTGATTTGGCTGCTGCATAAATTGGTTTGCTCTGGAGCCATCCTTCCTGAGCTAAGACAAAAATGTGTGAGCCAGAGGCTCAAAAACTGTGAGCTAGCTCACACCAACTCAGCTTGGAGGGAACACTGGCCCTAACATCAATAAATGGGGCCTTCAAGTCAGAACCTGTCTGCACTCTCTGGAGTTAGATTAGTAGGAATTCAAGTCAGAGCCTTTTCTGCAGCTGCTCCCCAGGTTATGGAATTTATCCCTGCGAGACTAATACCGACTTGCCAGGTTTCCAGCTACAGCAGGAAACCTCCCACCCAACACTGGCCCTTCCAATTGCTGCTGAGCTGGGGGCAGGGGTGGGGGAATGAAGGGAAATTGGTTTTGTCCCAGGAGCATTCCATCACTTCTGGCAGTGCCATTTTTGGCAAAAAAAAAACACCCCAAGACGGTGAGTCTACTGCCAGTCATCAGCCTCTGTAGCAACCCTAGACTCATGCTGTATCTCCAGGCTGCCCAGAACAAACTGAAGACTTAAAAAAAATATTCTAGAAGACCTTTGAGTAACTCTAGTGGAGATTGTTTTGGCTCTCTAAAAAAGATGATAATAATTTCACTGCTCTTGGGATTTGATTTTGCTGCTGATCTGGCAATCTTGCAGTTGGACAATTTTATGACCTTTTGTTAGGGGTCTTGAGTACCCCTGCTTGGCAGAAAGATGCTTAAATGATCTTTAGTTACAACAGCCAAAAGCAGTATGTACCACGAATGATGTGTGGTCTAAAAGGATCAAATGCCAGAGACAAGATAAAGAATGCTAGTGTGTATTGTGATTTGTATGCCTGTCTGTGGTACAGTAAAGACTGAATGTTATTTCTTTTCATTTTGAGATATTTCACTTCTAGACTTTGACAGACATTGAGATATAGTGATTCTTGAAAGATCTTTGTCATGGGCAGAGACCTGTAATCTTGTTATGGGGTGTTAATGAGGTGAGAGCCAGCATGATGTAATGGTTAAGAGCAGCAGACTGGAGAACTGGGTTTGATCCTCCACTCCCGAAGCCTGCTGGGTGCCCTGGGGGTCAGTCACAGTTCTCTCAGAACTCTCTCAGCCCCACCCGCCTCACAAGGTGCCTGTTGTAGGAAGAGGAAGGAAAGGAGATTGTAAGCAACTTTGAGAATCCTTAGAAAAGTGGGGTATAAAAACAACTCTTCAAGTCCCCACAATCTATGAAACTGTGCCTTCACAGACTTTTGGTATGGGAAGAGAATCCAACTTGCCACATACCCTGTCCCTGGGTATTGACTCCCCCTGATGGTACACTTGTCCAATAGGAATGCTGTCATGATTCATACATATTGCATAGTCCCAAAACTTATCTGGAGGACCTTTCCTAAGCTTCCCATTTGGCAGTAAAATGCTGAAACGAAAGCTCTTGTGGAGATGTACTTTAAACATCTACTTTGGATTGTAATGAGTACCAGGTTCTGATATTTGTTCCTAATCCCGATTTAAATGTCACCCCCAGGATTCATTGTCCCTCTAGTACATTGGCTGTACTGAGCTTCTTGTCACATATTAAGTGCTTTTGCTGCTGTGTGTACATACATCTGCTGTGCTATTTATAAGATCCACCCAGCGGCAGTCTGAGTTGGTGTCCAGCTAAGCTCTTCTCTTTCCAAAAGTTCTGAGTCCACTTCAGCTGCATTTCCCCCCAGAAGCAACAGCTTCCGAAACACTGCAAGTTTCTCAGGAAAGACGCAGTGTGAGGAGAGTGACAGGCTAGCTTCCTGCCACCAAGCAGAGATCAGGAAAATTGTTGACTTCTCTGGATCAAGCCTTTTAAGAAGAATTCCTAGCCCTTTTATCATGCTGCTAAAAGTGGATTTCTGGTAAAGGGGATACCAGAGCGTTCTAGGCCTGGATTGCAATGATAGCCTTTACTAGCTTTTAGCATTGTAAATGGGTCAAGGCATGTCTTAGGACACTACAGTAGATGATAAATAACTATGGAACCCCAAGGATATAAATATGAGCAAGCTGTTTTTTGCCACTAAACTTCATGGGACTAACTCCTCATGCAACCCATGAAAATGCTGTCGGGAGCTCCTGCTAGTTATGTAAGTTACTCTCTTTTTCTACTGTGTAAGAAACTAATTATGAAAGAACATTAAAATTGTCTTTAATGTCTGTGGTGCTCTGTCCCTTTTTCTCTCTCTCTCTCTCCCCCTTCCTCTGTTTGGTGGGTTAATTGCTCTGACAGTGGGATCTTTGTTTGCTTTAAAGCAGTGAATTGAGGCACTGAGGCCATGTGCACATATGCACAGTGTGGTGTGGCATGGCATGCAAAGTGTCTCTCTCCCTGCTTCCTCTACATCCTGCTCTGGCATTTGGTAAAGAGGCAATGGAAACTCAGTGAAAAGTTTTAAGTATTTTTCTCGACAAAGTGAGCTTTGACTCACAAAACGTTATAGCCCTGGAACATTTTGTTGGTCTTTAAAGGGCTACTGGACTCAAATTTTGTTCTGCTAATATGGCTACCTCCCTGAAACCGGATGTGTCTTGTTAGTGTTAGAGTAAGAAAAAAAACACACACATTTCAGCCAAGGTGGACACAGAGTAATAACAACTTCCCTTCAATCTACAAAATTCTACAGTGTAGGGGAGTGGTTAGGGTGTCAGACAGGGACTGGGGAGACCCAGGGTCAGGTCCTCGCTTGTCCGTGAAGTTCACCTGATGACTTTGGACCAGTTACTCTCTTTTAGTTTAAGCTATCTCACAGGGTGGTTTGTGAGGATAAAATGGAAATTCAGAGTGGAAATATAATAGAGCAGGTTGCTTTATAGTGAGTTTAAAACATTACTTTTGCCATGCAGAAAGCTGTGTGCATACTCATTCTACTGGTGCCACCCCTGTGGTTCAGATGTGCCCCCTTGCCCAGATTGCACGGAGACATGGGCTGGGGTGTCACAGCTGGTGCAAAATGCTGCAGCTAGGCTGTTAATGGGCCTATGCGGGAGCACATTCAGCCTTTGCTGAAGGCATTGCACTGGCAATGTCAATTACTTTATGGCTATCCCATATGCACTGGCAATTACTTTATGGCTATCCCACATATCCAGAGGTATCTGACCGGGTGGGAACATTATTACAGTGGGTTTGTGCAGATTGTTTTTGGGTGCGGTGTCAGTTTTAAGTTTGAGGTTTGAAGGTAACCGTAAGTTGAATTGAAGATAAGGGGGGATGTGTTGTTTTGTAATGGTTTATCTGACATGCTTTGGTACTGGGCTGGAACATCCATATAGATCTAACATATGGAAAAGGTGGGCCAATTCAATTATCATTAACCGAACCTTATAGTGTATGTAAGCAAAAATATCTGTTAGGGCCAAATGGGGGTGTACCATTCAACTCAGTTTAATTTCACAGGGTCTTGCAATGCCAGCATTCCAGTTTATGTAATCATAGTCCAGCATATTCAGCACCAATTGCAACCATGTTCAGAAAACCATTTTGTTTACGGGGGAGCTTTTAAAGTGCTCCATAGAATGATGATGTGTGTGTGTGTGTGTTCAAGAAAGGATCAAGGGATAGCGATATGCCATATGAGAAGTTTTGCGAAATGTAATATAAAGATTTTCATATATAGGTTTTTTCCTTCTTGATTGTTCATATTCATATCTCTCTGGTTTTTATAGATTTATTCTTTAAGTACTATTTTATTAGGATGTTAGAAAGGCCTGTTATATAGAAAGCTTTCCTCTTGTAGGTCTGATATTGTTAGCAGGAAACATAATAGGTACAAAGTTCATGATTCTGTAGTTCTTAGGGCAAACCTTTCAATGTCTGGGTCAGATAAGATTTTAGTCTGATATGAAGAATCCTTGCCCATTATCATTTAGGTTAGGTTAAGTAAACACTTAGTTTGGCATAGATATATGTTTCTTTATATCTGGCCAATCAGAGGATTATTACTCAAATTGGCACTGTCTTTTGTAACCAATTATGCTGTTTGAATATTGTTTTCTTGATGATGTCAGTCCATGTATAAAATATCATGTATTTCCTGAATATGTTCAGAATATGCTCAAGAAGAAGATGAAGAAGAAAAAGAAGAAAGTTGTCAATTTTTGGTTAACTATTTGGTCTAATTGTTTCCCTGTTAATTGAGGCATTTTTTCCCTGAATATGCTGAGAAGAAAGCAGTCAGTTTTGATGGGTCCTTTGGCCTAACTGTGTTCCGTATTTCATTACAATAAAATACAAGAACTTCCTCCTCATTTGACTTCATTTTTGACATGGAATCTAATATGTACAACAGTCATGCCAATACATAGTAGATTTCTAGGTATGAGCACTGCACTCAGAGCGTGTAAAGTTTCTGTCTTCAACAGTCTCAAGCCAAACCAAGGGCTGCATCTCTTACATTGCACTTACTAGATCTGCAATGTTAACTCCCCCATGCGAGTTAACCCACATTTACCACTGTACCATAACACTGCCAAGAGGGGGATGGTAAAGGTTGGCTAAGTTGAAAACTAGGCTTGTGAGGAAACCATTGCACATACTTAACTCCTCTTATCTGTTCAGTCTAGGGTTGCCAAGTCTACTTACCTTGGCAGCGGGGGAGCCTCGCCGGGCTCCGGGAGCTCTCTGGCGATGTGTGTGTGCACGCGTGCACCGCCAGCACGTCACAGGAAGTGACGCGCTACGTTGCTCACGTTGAGGGCGTGGCCACAATCATCGGAGGGAAAAGCATAGAGTTTTCCCTCCGACGATCAGGGCCACGCCCCCAACGTGAGTGGCGTGATTGCGTCACCTCCGGTGATGCAGCCACGCTGCGCTTCGGGGGGCGGAGTTCCCCCTGGGGCCCGATTCCGCGGTGGCGGAAATCGGGCCTCCAAAGCGGGGGTTTGCCCACCCCCCGCCCCCACTTGGCAGCCCTAGTTCAGTCCACATTCTCAGCACCTCCACTGAGTTGTGTGAACTGCTCTGTAGCCTCAGTATCATGGCGAAACTTACACTGGCAAGTGCACAAGATGGAGTCAGAACTGTGTTTAATTTGCTGTTGTTGTTGCAATTTGTGACTGTGCTTTCTGTTTCTGTGTGGCCTTTAGTGCCAGGGCACTTCTCGACATTATCCTGTGGCCAACGGCTATGAGTTGTTTGAGGTCTCTGAGGAAAAAGATGAAGAGGTTGCTGCTTTCTGTCATATGTTGGATGTGTAAGTACTTGTTTGGGTCAGAAAATAGCTCAGTAAAATACTGTTTCAGGACTGGTCACTGGCCAACATCCCCCTTTGAATTTAAGGTTCTAGAGTGCCAGGACAACATAAATGTCTCAAGCAACTGATTACTGTTGTTGATTTAATTCTCAGCAACTGGAAGAAATCCTCTTTGACTCTAACATTTATATTGCATTGTGTCTAAGGAATGGCATCTGTGGAAAATGTATTGGAAGCCTGGAACTGATTGGATGAGGATAAACCTATTTAGGATTATAATTCCTACCCTGAAATTGATTGGATGAGGATGAACCTATTTAGACTTTTAATTCCTACCACTGATTGCAGTAAAGCAGTAATAACAGAATGCAGAGGAAGCATTCCAGCCATGCTTTGACAATCATAAATGAAGGAATTGGGGAGTGTTACAAGGCCACTGTGTTGAATTGCACAAATAGCTCAAATCAACAGAGTCTCAGTCTTTAGCTCTGACTAAGATTATAAACAGCACATCACACAAATATTCTCTGTTTAAATGTGTAAATGATATTTGGCTTTCCACTTCTTTGTATGCTCCTTTAGTAAGTTTGGTGTTAACGCCTGTTTATATGTGTAACAACCAGTAAAGCAGTTGTTCAGAAAATTGTTGGGTCAAGACTTTGGAAACCTAGAATACACTCTCTATGCTTTAGGGGACACAAAAACAAGCTATTCATTTTACAAGAGCTTGCCCATATCTAAGCCATGCACATTCCTCGCATTTAGTGGATATATCATGAGTGTCCACTGGAACTGGCTACAGCTGAATTTAAAAAAACAATAAAATTGTTTATTGTGCCATCTGTTGTTTTATTGGTTTTATCACTTTTATTGTTTTATGAGTCTTGTGTTGTAAGCCCCCCTGAGCCCACGGATGGGGTAGAAATTAAATAAATAAATACTGAAGGGAAGGAGGCTGTTGAGGTACCAGGGCAGATGAAATAGTGGGCTGAGGCATGAGATGACAGGGAGGAATGTGAGGGTTAAGGTTGAACCAAATAGTTGGGTAGCTAGATGAGTGAAGTGTGCTTCATGGCCATAAAGTTCAGGCACACCCCCACTGTTTGTGATCATTTTGTTAGACTGTTATAAAATGCTTGATTCTTTCAGACAGAAATCTTACTTTAGAAATTCCTTAGGTAAATTTCTTTAGAGAAAATGAAATAAGATTTTTGAGCAAATGGGAAAACAGATGTTGCATCACAAGGCTTGATGAGACTACCCCTAGTCTTCAAATGGTATTTGAAGAAGTGAGCAGTGACTCACAAAAGTTCATACCTTGCAACATATTTTTTTAGTCTTTAAGGTACTACTGGACTCTTGCTCTTTTCTACTGCTACAGACGGGCTAACACAGCTTCCCATCTTGATATTCAGAGGTTTGCTGCCTCTGTAGATGGAGGCTTCCTTTGGTCACCATGGCTTGTGGCCATGGATGGACTTCTCCTCCATGAATCTGTCTTTTCTTTTAAAACTATCTGTGCTCATGGACATCACGACCCCTACCACAGTGAATTCTGCAATTTAATTAGTCATTGAGTTTAAAAAGTATTTCCTTTTGTCTGTCCCAACCATTTAATTGGGTATCTCCAAGTGCTAGTATTATGGGAGTGGGAGAGGGAGAAAAAGCTCCCCCTATCCACTTCACTCCTTTGGTATATATAGTAAAATAATTCTTAGTAAATTAACCAAAAAGAAAAGAACACTGCCCTCACGCTAGTAATAATCTGATGAAGAGTGAAATGGCCCCAGGAGGCATAGAGTGTTGAGAGCTGGTAACAGTCAGTTGAAATAAGAAAAAAATGAGGAAAGGGGAATGGGCCTTCCTTCAAGCCCCTAAGAATGTATAGATTTGGGGCCGGCTGGGAGGAGGAGAAATGTAGGGACAATGTTCCAGATGACTGATCTCCCTTTCCCAGTTCCTTACAGATCTTCACATTGTAATGATATAAATTCCAAAAGGGGGAGAAATTAAATGGGACTAGAGGAAATTAAAACGTCAAGTACCAAGATCTCTAGGGGAGAAAGAGGAAAGGCAAAACAAGGGGGAAGAGGTTCTTTCTGGTCCTAGAGGGCATGGGCTGGTGACGGGACCCAACAGTACCCTCCTCCATATCTTCTTTATTTCCCACAGCTTGAGATCCGGCTACAGTACAAAGGACTACTCCCTTACTGGTTATGTCTGGAGCACTGTGAACCTCAGTCCCGAACACCTTGGCCATGGGGTCAGCTTGAAAGTGACCGTGGTTTACGACAGTCTGCAGGAGCCTCTCACCTTCACCTGTGACTGTAAGTTGTTAGTTTGAACTAGAAAGTCCCTTCAGTTCATAGCGCCAGGCAGAATTCCTGGCAATAATGTGTTATGGAATGAATGGTCTATGAGGATGTTCTCTGGTTCCTTTAAAACAAATTATAGACCTTGTGGGCTCTTTTCAGACTTTTTTGAGCCACAGTATTCTTATTCATTTGACTGGAAATCAGAAATTTATCTAGTGTTTTTCTTGTGAGAGGGTATCACATTTTTCCAGCTCTTAAATAGCCATGTTCTTTTACAGGACAGAAATATGATGTTCTCCCCATCTTTGTACATACACCTGTTGTAGAATCTGTGTACATATATGAAGTTGCTTTATGCTGAGTCAGACAGGTGGTCCATCTAGCTCTGATTCACAGCAGCTCTCAAGGGACTTACAGAGAACAGTTCTTCTTAATGCCTGATATCTTTGTAGAAATGATAGGGATTGAACCTAGAACCTTCTACTTACAAAGTAGGTGTGCTACCAATGAGCCATGGACCTTTTTAAAGCTATGCTACAGAATATGGTTTTATGTTTCTACTGTATAGCCCTTATGATATTAGCCAGACTTCACAAAAAAATTTCCTCCATGTTCTCATCATTTTGTGAACCCTTTTAACATTGTGTTTTAATTTGTAACATTATTGTGAGACTAGGAATAAGGCCTGTTGTGGAAATAAATACAATGAGCTCTAGAAAGAGGCCTTGGGCACTTAGCATCACTTTGCTGTGGCGACCTCAGCAGGGTATAATGATAGAGTCCACCATTTTCTCCAGGGGAACTGATCTCTGCCATCTGAAAAACAGTTGTAATTCTGAGTGATCTCCAGCCCTCACCTGGAGATTGGCAGCAATGGTTCCCCAAGACGAAATGGCTGGTTTTGAGGGTGGAGTCTATGGCATTGAACCTGAGGTCCCACCCCACCTCAAACCCCACCCTCTCCAGGCTCCACCCCTCAAATCTCCAGGAATTCCCCAACCTGGAGTTGGCAACCCTATCTCCTTCGCAGCCAACCATCAACCTGCCTTTATCTGCCTCTCTGACTTCAGATTTCCATCTCCTCCCTCACCTGCAGCAGTATTTGTGAATTTCACAATTTTATCTAGAGTAATCTTGATTTTGTTCTTTGTGATTGTTTAACTCAATGTTTAATATTTAACGTACTGTTTAAAATGCATTGTCTTGGCATTTTCCATTCAGTATTTGCCATCTTAGTATTTATTTACTCTGTAACAGATTGACAGTTATCCATCCATGTCTTATAAGCGGTGACCAGTATCTAATTTAAGGAGTGTTTTATTCATGTAGTTCACTTGTTTAATGAAGCAGATTTATGCAATTAGTTCAGCTTGACCTTGTTCAACAGGTGAACAAATGCAATTAAACAAAGTCAGATTTCTTGTTAACATTTCCAGTGTAAATGTGGAGATTAATGAATTGTAGGATTTGCTTTCTTTAATTAATTTCAAAGCTTTCCCCCCTTCTCTAACACCTTGTCATAAATCAATCCAAAGTTTACATGCAGAAAAGAAAGGCACTAGTGTGAGACATCACAGTATTAGCTTAAATCAGCTAATCCTTTCTTAAACATGCTGGCATTCCATCTCATGATGTTGCTCTTTCATTGATAGGGAATGGTCATTATTATGTTCTGATGGACATGACATATCGATCAGGTCAATTAAATTTTACAACTAGTCCCCCTTGCGATGTGTGGCCTAGCTTCCTCATTTTAGTCATTCAGAGTTATTTGCTCTGCTGGCAATTTATGCCAGGCTTCTGCATTCTAATTGTAACCCGCAGTTGAGTGTTGGATCCAGTAATCTGATCATACAAGGAATGTGGATGTTTCCTCCCCCCCCCCCCCCCAGCATTTCCTTCTGATCCTTGACAAATTGATTCCTGGGGCCCACCTGGAGTAATAGCCACACAGGACAGTGGGTTTCATTCAGGAGGGGGAAGGGACAAAACAACTCCCTCCTGCCTTTTCATCAGTGCAGCTGGTGGGTGGAAGACAAGATGGGTGCTTTTCCCCTTTTCCCCTACTTTACTGCAACCCACTGAGCTATGTGGCTGTTACTGCTGTAGGGTCCTGTAATCAACTTTCCCAGGTTCAGAAGAGACTGATGGGGAAGGTGAAAGCAGGGAAGATCTGCTACCATGTTTACCTTCCCCTGTTGGATCAGTGAATCCAACCCATTGTTTGGATTGGGGTTTGACCACATGCCCTTTTGTTTCTTTCTGAACCCTATTATTCTAATTTAAGTTTTCTAGGTCCAATATCAGCTGTGGAAGCTGCGGCCTCATTGATCTCATTTATGCCTCCATATAAGAATTCTGTTAACTTTTAGGAGGCTATCCTTTGAGACTAAAATTGAGAGTGATTGAATTGGCAACATTCTGCCTTGCAGCAAAGGGACCATGAAATTAATGAGGCTCAGAAAGAGCAGAGGAGACATAATGACATTTTCAGTGATATCAGGGGAAGTGAGTCCATGGCATGAAACAGGGCAGTGACACTCACCCAGTGGCTTTGGAGCCCCATGTGGCTACTTGATATGCCCCTTTGGTATTTCTGAGCACCATTCCCATTGCACCTGCCCCATGTTTTTAAAAAGTGAGCAAAGCTATTGCCTGGTGAGGCTTGTGGTGACAGATGGTTTTCCCCTTGAAGCAACTTCTGCTGGAGGATGGGTAAGCTGCAAGCCTTGTGCTGTTCTCTCCAACAATCCCTCTGCAGCCTCTACAGCACGTGAACAGCTGCCAAGAGGAGAACAAGCTGGCCACAGTAGGTGGTGGTTTCTCCATGGCCAGCTTGCTCTCCTCTGGGTGCCTTGGCAGCATGCTATGCCTCATGCTGGAGAGACAGCAAAAAGACAGAGAGGAAAGTAAAAGGTGCACAGCCTCCTTGCAAGAGAGCCTTCAGAATGGTGCTGGCTGGCTCAGAGCAGGCTTCTGAAATGGGAAACCTGAGCACCCTTTACTTCCCTTCTTGCTCTCTTCCTGGCACAAGGCAGAATAGCACTGGAGCACCTTGCTCTCGCCTGAGTGGTGGACCTCAAGCCAGGGGAGAAGATAGCAAGGGTGTCTAGGCTTCCCACTGCAGAAGCCTGCCCTGCACAAGCCATCTGTGTTGACTTGGAGCCTCCCTTTGGAATGCTCATGGGCTGAGCAGAGTAGTTCCTGCAGTGAGAAGCCTGAGTGCCCTTTTACTTTTATCTATGCCTCCTTGCTGTCTCCCCAGCATGAGGCAGGTTCCTGCAGCTGTTGGCCAGATCTGAGGAATCAGGCTCTGCAGAGAAAAAACAGGTACTTTGATTATCCTTCCCCAGAAGAGCCCACATACAGTAGTCATGTGGATTTTTGGGTTGATGGTAATTACAAATGTGGTTCTCCATAAGCCACAGAATGAATACCATTGCATTAGGGCAATCAGTGGTCAAGATGGCAAAGTCTGTGGGAATTTTGATGAGGTTCATCATGTTGAGTCTGTTTGTTCTCCATGTCCTTGCAGGTTCTTCCACAGTGGACTTGCTCATTTATCAGACGTTGTGCTACACTCATGATGACTTGCGTGACATCGATGTGGATGAGTTTGTGCTCAAACTGTGTGGCCTGGAGGAATTCCTGCAAAAGTGAGTGAGTGGGCAGCACTTGAAAAAAAGTTAAGATTGCCCATCTTATTTTTGGCATCCTTGATGCATTCTCAATCCCACAATCTTTATGAGCTCTGTGTGTGCTTTACAGATACAGTTCTAGAGATCCTGCTGTTTTTGTGGAGTGAATTGAAGAAATACGGAGTTAGAAATGCTGCAGCTTTAGGCAGTGGGTGGATGGGTGAGAGTGAACATGAAGAGCTCTTCAAATAACCCTAAATCTTTCCCTCTCATATCACATCAAAATGTAAGCACCAGTTGCTAACATGTGTCATGTAGCCCCTCTCTGTTCTTCAAAGGGTGTTTCTCTTACAGTGATTTAATAGAATCTAGTTGTTTCAGATCAGGGCTCCCCATCATGGCAACTGTAGGCACCATGATGCTTGCTGGCACCTTTCTCAGCACCTGTCAAATGTTTTTGGAAATTGGGCAGGGTCAGGCGGGACTTCTGCACAACAGGGCTTATATTTGGTCACCCAAGATCTAATTGGAGTGGAGATTTTTTTAAAAAAACATTGCTTTGGCACTGTCTGCCACCACAGCTGACTGACTGAAGATAAGGTGTTATTTTAGAAAAATATTTCTAAAAGCATCCTGTTAAGCAAAGCTTCTGCTTGGAATGCTGAAGGGTGACTATTTGAGTTATGCATACCCTCACTCCCTGATATTTTGTGGTTGGTTCTGCCTCCTTTGGCAGCCATTTTTGTGGCTGAGCCTATCACGCTGTGTTAGAATTCCAAAGGTGCGTGCAGGCTCAGAAAGGTTGGGGACCTCTGCTTTAGACCATACTGAAAACTTGTTTTGTAAAGGGACTGAAGAACTTGAATCTAATCCCTGTAATCTTTGCTATGATAGCATAAATTGTATTTAACAGCCTTCATTCTGAACTGGTTTCTCTCATTTTCTGCACACACGTTTTCCACTAGTGTTCTAAGTGCTTGGCACTTCTTCCCTAAAAGGGTGATTTTATTGGATAAACTGGATTATTTTGGCACATCCTAGAAGCATGGCTGAGGCAACATTCATTGCTTTATTTCCTGATTCCTTACATAATTGTGATTTACTAGTCAATAAAGCCCCACTGGAGGCCATGGAAGGCCATGACTAAGTCCTGGTACATCTATATGCCTTGACATTAATTTTAATGGAAGAATTCCTTGAAGAGGTAGAAAGTAACATTCTTTTAAGTAATGGTGGTGCTTAATATGTTGGCAGAGGAGTCAGAGAAGTTTAATATTTTTAGAGCTGATCTACAACCTGTTCTATGAAAGAATGACTATCAATGAAGGTGGCACAGTACAGACAGAAGCCCGAATAGAAATGTGCTGGAGACCATTACATTCCTTGCAGCTATCATATAATCCCTGGTGAAAGGTGCTAAATGCTTTCTTGAAAGAACCATGTTTCGAAGTCAAATGTGTGTTGTCACCATGTTTCCATGACTTGTTCAAGTTAATGCGGTTTAGCAGGGGCTACCAAGGTGGCCAGCAACTAATGCTGGTGCATTTTGTGATGTGAAATCTCCCCTGGAGGAATACTGAAAATACCATTTGCTTTTCAGGAGGAAAATCAATAAATTTCTCCCATTGGTTCACTAATAGCCAACCCAGGAATGAGCATTCCAAATTTGTGACAGAACATCTAGGCCATTTAACCTGCTTTTCTTGACCACAGTGTGCTGCATTTCCACCAGACAAATTACTAATGATGTAAGGAGGCATTGAGAGTGGCTTTGTAGTTTTTGATCTTAAGAGTTTGCGGTCCAGCTACAGTGACTGGGAATGCAAGCTGGCAAGTGGAAACTGACTATTACTATGACTGGCTGGTTAGTGAACAGACTGAGTTTAAAACCACAAAGACCTCTGTGGAGAACCATTGTGTGCGCGCGCACGTGTGTGTGCTTATATACAAGAGACAGCATGTGCATTGAAAGCCAGTTCAAGACACAAAACCTCCCAGATTGAAGACTTCTGTGTTTATATGTGGATATAAATGTTGTTGTAGGTCTCAAGGCTATTTCCTTCTCTTCTGGGGCTCTGGCAATAAGCAAAGTGGCTTAAAATGCAGTCTGACTTTCTCTGTATTCATGGAAGGCAATAAGTGTTGTGCACAGGTCAGTTAACTGCTCAGACATCTAAGCATTTCACTTTTGGCATTGCTAGATCTCTTAACACCTTTCAGTCTGCACACTCTGTATAGTAAGTAACTTGTGACTACGATGGATTCTAGAGAGAATGACACCCCTCCTCTCAAGGGGTAACTGGAGGAAAAATGTTCCAGATGTGGAGCCAGAGAACCAGCAAGAACTGTTGCAATGCTTCTTTTTGGCTTCTGGGAGTCTTTATTTTTTAAAATGGTGATGTTGCCATCAGCAGAAAAATCTTCCTGCCTTTTATGTAATGTGCCTTAACTAAAAACAGAAATAAGAAATGTATATCAGATGAGGGAAATAGTACTGCCAACCTAGAACCCACAGGCGCCTCATGTATTCCCCCCCCCCTTGTAAAGGGAACTGGAGCCAGCTTATGGAAAGAAAAAGACACATTCATGATTGCAGCCTTTATAAGTGGAAGGTAGCAAGAAATTGGAGGCTGTAAATTCTTCAGAGGTGTGACTGTACCCTTTCTTTTTGCAGAACTGATAGGTAGGTTTAGGAAGATGTACAGCTCAATTGGATTCCAGCTAATGGACTGTCCACATTATACTCTTGGCCACACTGTACTCTCACTTGCATTCCTCTCCTCATTCTGACATCCCTGAACATCTGGGTGGCCAATCCCTTCTCCTGGGTCTTATATGGCTTGGACATTTTAGGCTCAATGTAGCTTGTAATCTTGACTGGGAGTGGGGGACTCATTAAGACATTCTGCCCCCAATGGTTTCTTGAGTGTGTGTGTGGAGTTTCCTGTCAACATGACCAGTACTCCTGTTGAAGCTTTAGTCAATCTTTGGAAAGCAAAGATGATGCAGGCAGTCGGCCTCACACCTCCCCTGTGGCTCTTTTGGCACTTGAAAAGTTGTGGGGTGGGAGAATAAGGGCACTTCAGCCTGCCATGCTGCAAGCCAGATCAAGATCTGACCCTCACAGCATTTTAAAATCACTTTAAAATGGCAGTGGCCTTTACAGGATGAAGCTGTGGACACCATTGCATCTAGTTTGGCCCTAAGTTGGCAGGCTACTAGAGCACAAATGGAGGAAATCTAGTGTTGAATATAACCAAATGCAGGTTATGACATATTTTTGGTCCTACTCCAGGGTAAAGCATGGTTAGTTCTTTACCACCATTCCACTTACACAAAGCTGTCCAGCTGAGATTTTCCATGTTTGAAGTGCTTGTCCTTCATCCGACCTTGAAGGTTCCAGCACGGATTGTTCTGTAACTTTCACTGATGTGTTTGTAAGGCATTTTTCAATCATTTGCTTCTGTTAGGAACGGGGCACCAATTTTGTCATGTTTCCATAATGAAATAGTGTCAGGCAATGCTCCCTCGAAGTTGTGGAGTCTTGTGAGCAAAAAAAATTACTGTATGAGCTACTGGCATTAAAGTTGTGAGCGAGCAATATAACTACTGCATAAATTAGTTTGCTCTGGAGCCATCCTTCCTAAACAAAGACAAAAATGTGTGAGCTGGAGGCTAAAAAACTGTGAGCTAGCTCACACTAACTCAGCTTAGAGGGAACACTGGTGTCAGGGCAGAGTCGAGTCACATTTACTTGGATGAGTTTCATTTGTTGCAGTCTGAGAATGTGAATGAGTCAATGGGAGGCATGTGGGATGCCACTTTGATTCTTGTCCTCAGCTTTTAACAGCTAACTGGAGAGGACTACTGACCTGTGACCTGTCTGTGATTAATGCTTCTTTGAAGGAAGAGGAAATCCCTGCTGCCTTGAAGGAGGTTGCGGTAAGGCCCCTCCTGAAGAAGCTTTCTTTGGTCTCACTTATTTAAATCCTCCATCAGCCTTTAGCAAATATCCTCTTGGACACAGTGATGAAGCAGGTAGTGACTGTTACACACCAGTCTTACTTGGATGAGATAAGTTTTGTGGACCTGTTTCAATCTTCCAGCTTGAGCCTGATGTATACACTACAATTTGTAACATACAGCTGGAGTTCCACTGACCTGACTTTAGTGTTTGAAGTATCAAGAGCAGGTAAACTTGTTTTTCAAGCACCTATGTGCTGATTCAGATTGGGACTGCAGTGTGGAGGGAGAATAGTCTTCAACCTCCCCACCCCCATGCAGCTTTCCTGACTCGAAATGACCCTGAGGGGCATTATTTGCCTTATCTGCATATACTGATGAGCTACATGTGCACCTCATCAATGGGGCAAAGGGTAGGATCTGGAAAACCAGAGTTCGGAAAGTCCACAGAGGCTCATCAGTTATATGAAGGCTCATCCTTCATATAAATATTGAGATACAGCAATTGCTGTTTGGGTAATGAATTCTGGCTCCCAGTCCTTATTGAAAACCCTTCTGTTCTTCTATAAATGTCTTGTAAGGGGCAAGAATCTGTATAAGTTCAAGATGGGTAAGTAGGACAGCCATTCCTGCCATGTACGTTTTTGGTTTCTTTAGAATACCTGGAAGGCTGAGATTTTTGGAAATGGGGGAAGTTAGTTGTTACAGGGAGGTTCTACCTGTTGTTGTGCATAGACTGCCTCTGTACAGCCATTCCTGCACATGCTGTCTTATGTCTCCTGTGAAATACTAACTCTGCTTTTGAAGCTAAGCCTTGCAGGATAAGGACTATATCAGACAGCATTTCTTTTGAAGGCTTAACACAACAAGCCTGTGCTCTGTATGTGTTACCTTGAATACATATTGAACGTTGAATTATATGACTGGCTACATGAAATGTCTGATCAATATTTAGACATATGCACAGACAAATACTGTGCACATTATTCATACTCTGGCTTTTGAAAGGGTGGGACAGAGAGTTGTGTGTAGATTGAAATGAGATAGCCTGACCCATTGTATGTTCCCTTCTTGGCAGCACCCAAAGTACCAAATGTAGAAGGCAAAAGTGCTCCCCACTGTACCTCTATCTAGATGAAAACCACTTTAATGAGTTGGTGTGCCAAAGTTTCCCTATAGCTCAACAATGTCATTTGGGAAACATTAGGAAGAAAACTTTGTTTTCTCTTGGCTTAATCCCATCCCCAAAGACGAGTGCCAAAACCCCTTGTTGGTTCAGACAGCAGGAGACCTGCTATTTGTCCTACTGGGGGAAACATACAAGTACCATCACACAGGTTATAAACTAGTTCAAATTACTTTTGTGCATCATGTTGATCTGAAAGCGCTCAAACCGAAAGGCAAAATACAGCAGAAAAAAAGAGCAACATGTGTTTCCCATATTCTCTATTTTAGAACAAATGTTCCAATTATCCTATTTGTTCCTGTATACTGCAGTTTTTAAAATAAGCAGAGAAGTGCTGATATCATAAATACAGATGAAATTGTTTGATCTGGAGAGATTTTGTAACCTGTCCAATTGTGGCACAGGGAGTATATGGCAGTTGAAGAAAAGGCATTGTTCATCTAACTGCTGGCCCATCCTTCTAGACAGCTTCCCCCAGGAAAACTTTGCTGCAGTTTTGGCTTGATGCGTTGCTACAATTTTCTAGCATCTTTTGCTGAGTCAGCAGCTAGCTAGCAAATGGCCTTTAATTCTCAAGTCACATGTGCTTCAGCTTACACTGCTTGAAGTGTGCAGACATCAGTCTAATGTGCACGCACTAGAAAGTCTAACATATTGGACAAATTACAAAGTAACTCTTGGTGGTCTGGCAGCACCTCAGGAATAGATAATGATTTCTGTGCATAAAAATAATTTCTCCATGAGAGTGTTCATTTTCTGTTGCAAGAGGGCAATATTATTTGAGCTCCCCAGTTCCATTTTCAGTTTTAAACAATGGCTTTCAAAGCGTTGGAAATCACAAGAAAATCATTATTTTTCTGTGCCAGCTTTTATTTAAGGATTTTTGCAAAACAGAGGCAGACGTGCAATTGGATGGCTCCTGTACCCTTCTAAATGGACTGACAGTCATAGCCTGCAATCCTGTTACAACTATGGTGGGCATGGTTTTCTTATTCTCCTACAAGATCAATTTCCTTTAGCTGGGTGCTCTTTTATAGGATATAGTCTGAATTTTGCATACCCTTTAATTGTATGTATTTGGTATTGACACAGAATATATTTGTTTTGCTATTGATTCCTGTTGTTGGTGCACACCAAATATTTACCCCGTATTGGAACTACAATTCACATCCAAGGAATAACAAAAATTCCCCTTATCCTATTAACTCTTGAACTTGCATGCCCTGCTGAGTTGCTCCCTGTATGTCCCTCAGGGCAGGGGGTGAAGTTCAGACCTCATAAGCAGAAAAATCCTTCGTAAAACATGTAGATGCTTCTATGTGTGGTGTTCCAACTTACTGAACTCAATTTAAATGGTCCAGGTTATAGAGCAGAGAACAGGAGGAACAAAAATTGCCCTTTCCATGCATTCCTGTTTTCCAGGATAAAGAACCCTTTAGTGACTTTGTCCCAGATGAGTGTAGCACCTCTTTCTCTTAATGCAACGAAAACACCTATTTTCAATTACCAGGTGTATGAGTTGCTCTCATTGTGCAGCAAAGGAGCACACCCAGAGTGCCCAGCCATTGGACAAATATCCTGGCAGCCCAGTGGATGTGCTGGCCTGGATTATTTATTTTATTATATTTTTATCCCGCCCTCCCCGCTTTCAGCCCACTGTGTCTTCAGGGCTTAGGAAGCAAGTAAGAATGTTGAAATCCAATAAAGCACCTCTTCAAATAATAAAATAAGAAATCAAGATTAAATATTGTAAAATTACCCATCATTAAAAAACCTGCCCAATAAAAATGACTTTCAGGACTTCCTGCAGATGAATGCAGCGTCTTTCTAGAGAGCTTGCAGAGTTGGTGTTTCTAGAGGATTTTGCGATCTCTTTTTTTCCAGTCTTTGTGGGTTTTTTCCTCTCCTGTTTTTCCCCCTCCTGTATATTTTTCTTCCCTTGAAAAACAGAGCACCCTCTGCCTCCTGGCTCTGCAGAGTTCTTACTTGTGTGATGGCAGCTGTGGCGGTCCAGAGCCCGGATGTAGGCTCTGCTGAGATAAGAACTGACCTTTCCTTTTGGACTGGCAGGTGAAAGGGCTAGACTTCCTGTTATGACTGCCCTTCTGCCCTTTACCATTGCACTTCCTTTTATCAAGAACACAAGCAGAGTTTGAGTTCAGCATATATAGTGTATTCCAGGTTCTGGTTTGCATGCACATGGTACTTACAGAGTCTGCATTGGCAGGGCATGAACTAAAGAGGTGCTATGTTCAGAGAGAGATAGATAGGCTCTTCAGATAAGGATCTGTGAGCCAGTATGATGTCCAGTGTAAACCACTTTGGAAAGAAAGGTGAGGTAAAGGCTGGGTTTGAAGTAAGATAAGATGATAAGATAACCTACTTCCGAAAGACTTTTTCACTTTGATTACTTTTTATTGTTGCAGTTCTGTGGAGAAGAAAGGGGGCCACATCAAGGCAAGACAAAGATGAAAATTCAAATGGTGAAGAATAGGAATCTTTAATAATTAGTTTTAGTTTAGTTTAGTTTATTTCTACAGTCCTTAGACCAGTCATACAAAAAGAAATACACCTTTACAAAATTCCAAGATTTTAAAATACATCAATAAAACATTAAAAGCAAAATTTAATCTAATTTCAAACTACTATATCTAACTAGCTGCCTTGGGGTTTCCGTGATCTGAGTATCACCACACAAAAACTGGCTTACTTGGTGGGTAATCTTGGGATTTCTATCAGATAGAAGGAACATTCTGTTCAGCTGAGGCCTCTCCCCTCCCTAAACTCTAGCTTCTGTAGATTCCACCACAGAATATCCAGGAATTTCCCAACCTGGAGCTGGCAACCCTAGTCAGGACTGGCCCCAATGAGTTCTCCACAAAGGCCTGGAAAGCGCCTCCTGTCTTTGCCTTTTAACTGACAGAACCAAGCTTGGTTGCCTAGCAACAAACACTGAGGGAAAGGTTAGTCCCACAGGAGCCAAGCAGGAGGAGTGTCTTCATCAGGAGAGACGGCCGTTTGGCAGTTTATTCTGTGAGAGAAGAGTTTCCAGGCTGGCAGTAGGTGGGGGAGAGGAGGTGACCCAGCACCCAGCCAATGGGACACGAATACTCTTGAGTGGCAGTTGATGGACCAATGGCTGATGGAGCGCACTGCACAGCCAATGGGAGAGATAGAAATGGCCAATATGTAAGGGAATTATATATGTAGGATTCTTTTTCTTCTGCACTATTTGTTTCTTCATCTTCGTGTTGCAGTTCTGTGCAAATTATGAGTGTTGCCTATAAAGACTGTGTTTCCTTTCAAACTCTTTCTGTTCCATCTCTGCATTCCATTCTTTGTCACTGCTGTTGTGGTTTCTTTAGGAGATTTACCATTTTAATGGTTTAAAAAAGCTTACTCTTTTAAGCCCAGTCATGAAATGAAATTGCTAATTGCTGTTTCCTTGGGAGAAAAACTGAGACACATACAAATGATTTGACTTATCCATATCTCCAAGATAAGCTAATGCTAGATCCAGGATATTCCTCATCTGCTGTGCTGTATGCAGAATTGTAGAGGCTACTGGATAAACAGTGAATTCAAAGATCTTTCCTGCCTGCAGGAGCCTCTATACAAAGAGTGGGGGCTTTTGGCTTCAGAGGGATAAAAAAACCCCTTGTTTGCATCCTTTCAGCAAACACCCGCTGGGAAGCCATGAATACATCCAACACTGCAGGAAGTTTGACATCGACATCCGGCTGCAGCTGCTGAAGAGGAAGGCTGTGCGCAGTGACTTGGCTCGGACAGTGAGTACCTGCTTTGCCAGTGAGCACAAAGTTGTGTTGGGGGAGGGACAGAGGCATTGCCTACCAGCTGTCTGGGCTGTCTGCTGTTTCTAGCGGGCAAAATTTCTACTCCATCTAAAGGTGACAATATAGTGACATTAGAGTTGCCAACCTCCAGGTGGTGGCTGGCGATCTGGGATTACAACTGACTTCTAGGCAACAGAGATTGGTTTGCCTGGATAAAATGGCCATTTTGGAAGGTGGACTCTATGACATTACAGTTCACTGAAGTTCTTCCCCTCCCCAAACCCTTCCCTCCTCAGGCTCCCCCCCTAAAATCTCCAGGTATTTCCCAACCTGGAGCTGGCAACCCTAGGTGACATAAAGGGTGGGGAAAGGGCTGTTCTCTTGGGTGATAGGAATTGAAACTTAGGGTGTTAACTCCTGGTCAGGTTGTGATGTTTACCTTATTACAGAGAAAGGATCACAGTTTTAACAATATGTCAGATACCTGGTTACCTGCAATTGTATTTGGTGTTTACATTTCATATCAGCAGAACAGTGGCGCTACCAGCTGTTGCTTGAACTGCTACAAAGCATGGTTGAAGGACCAGTGCCTGCCTTTAATTATTGATCAGATTTGCAAAAGAAAAACTCAAGATGGCAAACAACTACAAATAGGTGAAACAGGCCAAAAGCAAAAGGGGGCTTGCTGTGTCTCCCTCCTTCTCTTGCTGTGTGGCTAGCCACTGTAGTACTCTGGGGAGGAGGAGCCTGGTGACCACTGGCCGGGCAGGCTGATGGGAAGGAGCTTTGTTCTGTCTCCTCTCCTTCTGCAGAATGGCTGGTCACTGATGGACTCTGAGCCCCTGGCAAAAATTGTGTCCAATGCCTCCTTTAGTCAAGAATCCAAATCTGTCACCAAAGATCTCTTATAGCAGATGTAGCCAAAGGGCAGCAAGAAACTCTCCATGTCCATGGGTTTAAGCAGTGGAGTTGCTGCCTGATCTTGATCTGAGGATTCCTTCTCTTGACCAGCAGTCTGCCTTTAGTCCCAACTATAATAGCTTTTGCAAGAGCTTTTGTTTGGCAACACCTACGAAAGCATGCCTCACTGATGACGATAGATACACAAGGAAATGCCTTTGTTGCAGCTTCTGGCTGGTGGAAGGCTACACCAATATTAGGAGTGAGAGGCCTATAGAGTGGCTCTTGCAATATGGTATAAAAAATCACTGAAGGCTTAATGAGCAGTATTCTTGCACTCTAGTTTTGGCAAAGTGGGTGACGCTTCAGGCTGGTGCAAAGAGGCAAGGGGGTCCCTCCACACTAGGATCTGAGGTTGGATCTTGTGCCCTAGTGCCTCTATACAGCAGATTGTAGGATAAGGTACTAAATGGTCACTTCAGGCTGGTGCAAAGAGGCAAGGGGGTCCCTCCGCACTAGGATCTGAGGTTGGATCCTGTGCCCTATTGCCTCTATGCAGCAGATTGTAGGATAAGGTTCTAAATGGTCGACAAGCTCACTCCAGAGAGCAGTGCTGCAGGTCTTTTGACTCTACACATTTCAGTGGTTCATGCATGATTCAGAAGCTGCATTTTCCTGGAACAGGATTGCTCTTGAATGTTATGCTTATGTCTGAGTTGCCACACCTTTTATATGTAAATTGCTTCCTTAATAACTGCTGGTGGATCTGACAATACATAATACATGGTTTGGAAGTGATTCATACATACAGTGCATTCATACTTGTTAGGATCACTTGCAGGAACAATCCATATGCCTGGGAAGATGTAATCTCTGTAATGGCTATTAACATGGATCTAGAAAACTTTTCAGACTTCTAACAGGAACTCTAGGGAGAAATTCAGTGAGAAATTCAGAGCTCATCCCCATCTCATATTAATAGGATTTGTTCATGTAGATACCAGGAATTTCAGTCACATTCATTAGAAAATGGCAGTGTTCATGAGAACACATGAGCCGCCTTATACCGTAAGACCATTGGTCTACCAAGTACTATGATTACTGTCTACTCACAGGCAGTTTGGCTACTAGCCAGACTTGGAAGGCCTAACAGAGAGACACTGAATGCACTTGAACAACTGTCTTCCTTTTTGTAGCCAAACGATGATCAGAGTCCCTCCACGCTCAACCACTATGTTCACCTCCAGGAGAGGCCAATCAAGCAGACCATCAGCAGGTAAAGATGAGTCAGGAACTAAAGCAGATATGGGGGGGTGGGGACAGCATCTGTACAGCTTTCATGGAACAGGCAAGCTAGAGCTCACTAATAAAGGCCAACTTAATAGATCCAGGATTGTTTTGGACCAGCTGCATTGCCACCACTCAAGCTGTCTGGTAAGAACTAGAATAGAGGCTGTAGCAGAGATCTTTCACATGCAGCAGGTATGGCATCTTGTCCCCGTTTCTTGACTGAGCTGTTCTGTTCTTTTCCCCCCAACAGGCAGGCCCTGAGCCTTCTCTTTGATACCTTCCATAATGAGGTGGATGCATTCCTTGCAGCTGAGGTGAGAGGGCAGTGTTGGGATTAATGCTGTAATGCGTAGGGCAAAGTCCAGAAGGGGCACTTCCTAATATAAAATATCTAGAATAATACCCAGCATAAGAGTCTGAGATATGTATGTGCAGGACTGTGCTGATATGTTCTTTGGGCCACTAATCACATTTCTGCCATGGCTTCCCTAAGGGAGAACTGTCTCCCTTACCAGCACTAAGATAAGATGTTTACGAGTTTATAGTTACTCTGTCTGCTCCCTTTAAAAAAATCCTTGATATTACAGGGCAATACAACACCTGATATGCTTTGCAATATGTTCTTGAAGTGGTAAATTTAAACACACATTTTATGTGTTGCAAATATTTTTCCCCCGTTACACTTTTTCGTTGGGCCTTTCTGAAATCAACTTATTGCTCACATTGTGTTTTGCTTCCTGCTTGAAGCCGATGGGAGGGTTATGCTGCTTTGCTAGGGTTGGGTCTGCCTATAAAATGAGAACCGACTTGAACCCTACTTGAACCTTTCCCTTCCCGGCCTCATCTGACAGTGAAGGGCTTGCCTGCTTCTCCTTTTCCTCATTCCAGTCTTGAATCCTTCATGGGAATCCGATTTCTCAACAAGGTGAGGACTGCCAGCCACGAGTATGTTTGGTACTGCAGCCAAGAGGCTGAGCTACACAGCAACATCGGCTATCAGTCAGAGCAGGAAACATACTGTGTGTAGTGGAGGGATCCCCAGGTTCTATTCTTGGCAGCATCAGCAGTTCTTATGCTACTTATCTGTTCTTTTTTTTCAGTTTCTCTTGGGACAAGTACAATTTAAAAAACCACACACCAGGGCTATTTTTGGGCAGGAACGCACAGGAACGGAGTTCCAGCTGGCTTCAGAGCTGGCCACGCCCACTACAGCCAAAACCTCTGTGTGCATGGCTACAGAGGGAAGGCCTGGAGAGTGGCCCCCCCCCCGGCAGCTCCGAGGCAGGCGGGCCAGGGGGGGCCCTGGAAGGATCAGGGAAGCATTTAAATGCCTCCCGTGCCTTTCCCGGCCTGTCCAAGGGCTGGCTTGTCCGGGTGCTTTGCAGCTGCGGGGCGCCCGGGCAAGCCAAGGGAAGGCATGGGGGTATGGCCTAATAGGCTAATGAGCTGTGCTGTCAGGGGTGTGGCCTAATATGCTAATGAGTTTCTGATATTGGGTGTGGCCTATTATGCTAATGAGTTCCTGCTGGGCTTTTTCCACAAAAAAAGCCCTGACACACACGCATGCATTTTGTCTGCTGTTGTGAAGGTTGTTTCTAATGTCTGTAGATGCAGAAGACTTTTTTCCATTTGGAAAGTTCCGGATTGCTTGACCCTTAATACAGATTAGAATGTACGTTTCAGACTCGATGAGTGGTGAAGCAAAGGAGAAAGTAAGTTAAGCAAGAGACTTCTGTTGCCTGCTAAGCTAGCTGTAAGGTCTTCTTTTTGCTTGAAAGTTATCTGGCCAGCACTGAAAGTAAGGTTTCATATTGTTGCATGCTTCCGTCCTATAGATGGGTAGTATAGCTGGAGGTGGAGGAACTAGAGCCTATGACAAAAGAAATGGTAAAGTTCCTTAGTAATCATGTATGTTTTACCTCAGTGGGTCTTAATTGTTAAGAACTTTCTCTATTTTCGAGACCCGGGTGCTGCATGATGGAGTGAGCTCCCATCTCTAGTTCCAGCTCCTGCCAACGTAGCAGTTCGAAAGCAAGAAATTTAAAGTAGATAAATAGGTACCACTTCGGTGGGAAGGTAACAGCATTCCGTGCGCCTTGGTGTTTAGTCATGCTGGCCACATGACCACGGAAACGTCTTCGGACAGCGCTGGCTCTTCGACTTTGAAATGGAGATGAGCACCGCAACCCTAGAGTCGGATTCGACTGGCTTTCGAGCAAGGGAACCTTTAGCTTTACCTTTACCTATCTCTATCCAAGCATTTGTCAGGGCTTGGCAGAGGTGATTCCCCCCCCCCCCCCCCGGTGAAGGGTACGGGTTGAGATGTGTTGGTGTGTGAAGAAACAGCCGTTCAGACTCTGAAAGAGACACAGCAGCACAGAGAGCTATTTGGATGATTACAGCACCCTGGGGATACAGGATCTGCCTCTGGAGATATGACGTGAGGTAGCCCATCTGCTGCCCTATGGGGGTACTTCTTTCCTTCCACCTGTGCTCTGCTTGTACGTTTATAAATAAAGAAATACAAGTGGGGAACCAGTGATACTCACGGTGTGTGTGTGTGTGTGTGTGTGTGTGTGTGTGTGAATTCTCCTGGCTCAGTGGGGGGTTGAGGGACTTGGCAGGGGAGATGATCCTGGAGCCCTCCTCTGCTGCAGCCCGGCACAGCTACCAGCATCCTCCTCAGCCGCAACCAAGCCCAGCATGGCTCCATTAAGCAACTGAGGGCTGTACAGTTAGGAGAACCATAGGGCCAGTTATCCCCAACTTCTGTTCTTACAACTTCTCCTACCTTTCATGCTTCCTGTCCAATGGATTTGTAGGCTTAAAGCAGTCCTGTGTCACTCTGAAGGCTAACAGATATATTATGGCATAATCTTTCATGGGCCAGAATCCACAAAAATTTAGTTAGCAATACATTTGTTTGCATTTCAGGTAACAGAAGAATCCTATTTATTTTTTATTTATTCATTTATTTTTTGGTGGAGCAAGCCATACCCATCTACAATGTGTAGAATTTGTATGCAGTAATCCACACTGCCCCTTAGTGGCAATTCCATCTGCATATTCTGAGGCATTCAGTCTGGATTTATTTTGGTGGAAGGCTGTAGCAACGTCAAATGAAATCCTTGGTTCCGGGAAGCTTAGTGTTGGCATTCCAGCAATTAGTAATTTGAGAATTATGGCATGCTTGAAATCAGCTGAGAGGCATTTTCAGCTGTCTCCCCAAATCCTTTTTGTTTTGGAAGCTGATTCTTCGCCTTGGAGATGATGGCAAGTTTTAGCAGACGAGGTATAAAGACCATGTCCCTTCAGCTCTTATGGACACTGGTGAATGGGCATCATGGGCAAGTGAAGCCTTAAGCAGCTCCTAAATTTGTTGAACTTGGCCGGTTTCCTTTTCTTTTTGCTTGCTTTGGCCAAGCTCACCAGAGATTCTGGGACTGTGCTTTTTGAGTAGTCAGGCCAGCTTCTAGCTCAGAAAGCAAAGTTTAGAACAAGCAAAGGGGTATGCATTAAGTTGGAAACAAGCACATCTTAAGCTTCAGCAATTATCCAATGACAATTGTTGTAAAAATGATGAAGCTAAATTCCAAGCAGTGTTTTGGAGGCATTTTCACACTTGTTCACTCTGGTTGTTGCATATGTGTCAAGTGTCACCTAAATTTCTTTCTATGTGTGCAAAGGAGGAAGGAATGCATAGGATAGAAGAAGTGGAGATTTCTCAGCCTGTTAGCAGACTTCAGACCGCTTGGTCTGGAGTACTTCCAGGTGTCATTAAAATTATTTCAGAAGTATTTTAAGGACTGCAGCCTTAATAAAGGGTTTGTGTGTTGGGAGAGGGGATTTCATTCTTTTTTGATTCGCAGATCAGAGGCAGGGTAAGTAGGGTTGCCAGCCTCCAGGGGTTCCCTGGGGATCTCCTGGATTTACATCCAGTCTCCAGACAACAGAGATCTGTTCCCCTGGAAAAAATGGCTGCTTTGGAAGGTGGACTCTATGGCATTAAATACCAATAAAGTCCTTCCCCTCCCCAAAGCCCATTCTTCCCAGGCTCCACCCCCCAAGTCTCCAGGTTTTTCCAAACCCAGAGTTGGCAACCTTGATGGTAAGGCATATTCTGAAGGAGCCTAAAAACATAAGAAGAGACCTTCAGGACCAGGGCCCAAATATGCCCCTTTCTTTTGTTTCCCCCCCCCCCCCCCCAAAAAAATGGCTTTCAGAGGTATAATGACATCACAGTTATTAACTATTGAGGGCTCTATCATCCATGAAATTGTTTAATACCCTTTTAGAGGGTATAAGCTAGTAGCTGTCCTGTGGCAGTGAGTTCCACACATGCATTTTGTGAAGAAATAAGTAATTTAGATGCTGAATTAAGCTTGTTGGGATCTGTTTGATGATTCCCCCTTGCCTGGGCAATATTCTGCATGCAGCAAGTAAATGTGGCAAGAAGAATTTAGGCAAAGGAAATTCATCTCTCAGCACTGGACCGCCTTGTTCTGCAGTTTGTATCCATTTCCTCCAGAGTGGTGCTATTCCCTGATGAGGCAAAATGAAATATACTGGGTTCGACACGTGTGAGTGATCAGCTCATAGTTTATTAGTGATTCCAGCAAACACAAGACAACTCTAGCAGGACCGAAGCCCTGCTTAAATCCATGCACAACACTCCACCCCCACACACCCACTCCCCGTGATAGGCTATTTACAGTGCGCCTCCTGGTCTATAGGTTCCTTCCAGGATCCTAGCTATCTATTGTTCTAGGTTTCAAGCTTGGTCATTCAATGCCGGGCCCAGGACATAACACAAAACATGAAGCTTCCTCTGTGTGCATCTGAATGTTAGCATCTTGTTCACCCTAATGGTCCATGTAAACTGTTTGCTTCTGATTTAGCAGCATGCCACATGTGGATCTTCATAGTAGGCAAGACTGCATGGCTAAACTGTCACCAACTGCCGTCATTGACGTAGGCTCTTGTTTGATTCCCCATTCAGGGAGACTTCCACCTGAAGGCTGAGCGGGTGATCCAGTCTGTCATGGCCATTTGCAGTGCTCTCGCTGCTGTGGAGTCTCAGGAGATCACAGGTGCCCTGAATCAGCTGCCACCGTGCCCATCTCGCATGCAGCCCAAGATCCAGAAGGTAAGAAGCAAGCATGAAAGACAGAGGGAAGTGAAATTTACTCTGAATGCCAAAATTAAATAGGAGGAAATGAGGACAAGAGTTTTACCTCTGCTACAGACTGTAGAAGAAACAACAAGTGCTACGTGCTGTGTACTTGATGCTAAGAAGCATATTTGAGCCTGTCTCATGCTACTTTTGCCACCCATGTGTGTGCTGTTAATGCAGGACAGATGCAGAGGAAAACACAAAAGCACATTTTAGTCAGCATAGGTTTTGCATTCACACTTAAATTGATTTTGAGCCTCATCCTTTAGTTTAGATGGGAAGGAGAAAGAGTTGTGTGTCATCAGCACAGCAATGGCACTGCTCTCCAGATTTCTGGATAATTTCTCCAGTTGGCTCATGTAGGTGATAAACAGCTGGGGGGGGGGATTTGAATGAGTCTTGAGGACCTATTATGTGGGAAAGGAGAGGGGCCTATCAACATTCTGAACAAATAATTTACATTGCAGAGAGCAAGATCTGCTGCTTCTCTCTTGGGATTTTCAGTCAGAGATGCACATATAAACAGGTCCCAAGCACAGGAGGTCAGGGACTTGTAAGGCATATTACTGTGCTATGGTCTATTTGTAATTTCAGAAATAAAGTAGACATCTTTCTTTCATGACTTATGAGGTTGTATGTATGGGATGGGAGTGTGTGTGTGTGTGTAGTGTGGAGAGTATTCCAAGCTGGTGCTGAGGCTAGAGAAATGATGCTTGAGTTTAACCACTGCCCATCACCGATCCTTGGCATGTTAAACAGCTTGAAATGATTTAAAGATCAGTCATTTATCCTTTCTTGCTAATGAAAGATCCTATGGAATAGAAGGGCAAAGGAGTAACTGAAAATGGAGCAAAACTCTTCTTTGCTTCTCTCCAATTTTTGGTAAACTCTGTTATAACACTTTGCTAAAGTGGGATGGTTATTATTTATGCGAAGAATTTTCCTATTCCTTATGCTCAGGCAGGATTCCTCAAAGAAAAGGAGACCTTATTTGAATAGAATTTGCCCTTTTTCTTCAGACCATCTTCTGCTTCTAACAGCTGATACTTTTGTGGATGTGAAAACCTGGGAAATGTAGCTGCTTTTGCTCTCCCCCCCCCATTTTGGGTGAATTTTAAGTGCCGGGAATGGAAACGTGGCTGGAGCATGTTATATAAAGTGGTTGGCTCAGGGAGCTGCTTCCATTTCTGATTGTCATGAAAATGTTCTAGTCTGGTTTCTCTTTCCTGAACAGGATCCAAACATTCTGGCCTTGAGGGAAAATAGAGGTAATTTCTCTTCTTCTATTATTGTTACTGAGTTCCTGGAACTCTTATTTCAGCAGCCTCTCAAAGGAACTTCTAATCCTAAATTACTGCATATAGTTATTTACTGAACTGCTTTTGTTAGTAGTATTAGGTGTGTTGATAGTAACTGTTTAAATGGAAAAAGCCCAATGACAAATGTTTTTAGATGTTGGTGCAAAATAATTAAGAGCAGATTTCAAAAATACCGATTCCTCCAATAGCTGTTCATGACCTCATAGCGTAATGTCTGGTAGATAAACTGTACCATTGCAGCTTTGAGTTATATTTTTCAGTTGTCTAAGCTTAATGGAGAGAAAGGAGGAGGATTAATTTTGGGGTAGAATATAGTTCCCAGTGCATCTTGACATCAATACATTGAGGTTTGAGTTGTGCCTTTCCAAAGTTAGGTTTTTCAATCTGTCTATGTTTACATGTTGCAAATGAACCCTGTTTATCACACAGATTTAATGCACAGCCAGTTTGGCATTTCATGAATCAGCTTGATGAGTCCTTGAGGAAGACTTCCCCCTCCAGCACAACATTTGCTTTTGTGAAAAAACACCACCATATAGTTACCACCCAACCAACTAACTGTGGTTTTCACTTGCCCTTCAATTGCAAAGTACACTTGAATCCTTGTTTGCAATGCCAGTTCAGATGTGACAGCAAACTATGGTTTGCCACAAACCAGGAAGTAACTAATCAGATTGTCATGTGTGCAAAGTGGCATACACAAATCTAAGGAGCCATTACGCATGTTGATACTATATAGTGCTAAGTCTAAGGAGCCATTAGGCCTGTTTGGTGTAGAGCCATTTTGGTGTAGTGGTTAAGTGCGCAGACTCTAATTTGGGAGAACTGGGTTTGATTTCCCACTCCTCCACTTGCACCTGGCTGGGTGACCTTGGGCAAGCCGTAGTTCTGATAAGAGCTGTTCTTGAAAAAGAGCAGTTTCTGTCAGAGCTCTCTCAGCCCCACCTACCTCACAGGGTGTCTGTTGTGGGGAGGGGAAAGGAAAGGAGTTTGTAAGCCACTCTGAGACTCCCTTGGGTAGTGAAGGGCGGGGTATAAAACCAATCTCTTCTCTCGTCTTCTTCTTCTTGATACTATATAGTTTGGTGTAGTGGTTAAGTGCGCGGACTGTAATCTGGGAGAACCAGGTTTGATTCCCCACTCCTCCACTTGTAGTTGCTGGATGACCTTGAGCAAGTGATAGTTCTGTCAGAGCTGTTCTTGAAAAGAGCAGTTCTTGAAAAAGCTCTCTCAGCCCCACCTACCTCACAGGATGTCTGTTGTATGGAGGGGAAGGGAGAGGAGCTTGTAAGTTGCTCTGAGACTCTGTGTGAAGGGCCGGGTATAAATCCAATCTCCTCCTCCTCCTCTTCCAATGTGACTTCCAGTGAATACCCAGCAATGATATCATTCTCCTGGAGCATGATGTCATTTCCAGGTATTTGTTGACAGCAGAACATCTTTTTGTGACATTTTTTCCTCCTGCCACCCAGCCAGGAGGTGGCAGGCAAAAGAGATGGAGGTTGGGAAGTCTCCCATTGAAGCAGGAGACATGGCCTCCCTAGCCTGCATATATTACTCATATATGCCCACAATGCAAATAACAACGAAAATACTTTGCTGTACTTTCTGCTGCAAGAAAAGCTGAGTTCCACAACTCGTGAAAATTACAGTAGCCCCAGAACCCCCCACCCCATTTACCTGAGGTGACGAGATAGGACCAGCTGGAGCAGCTCGCCCGGCAGTGGCCTGCATACAGCACAAACTGGCTCTGCTCTTGCCAGCTGACACAACAGGACAGTCTGCCCTCCTGATGGCAGGTCCATTGGAGCCAGGGCTGCCCAAGAGGCCAGCAGCTTACCTGACCCAGGAGGGCCAGAAGAGGGAGGAACAGCCACTGCATAAGCCCTGAGCATAATGTGCTGGCCCCAGCTGGCTGGGGCGAGGCAAGGCAAGGCAGCCATTTAAAGGAGATGGAGGGCAAGGCTGGAGGCCAATGTGGCCCAATCTCACCCCATCGACAATAGTTCCTGCCAGTCAAACCAGGAGTGTGAGGCAACCCTTAGAGAAAGCAGGAAGAGGAAGGGGTGGGCATAACCCAGAGAGTCTCCCTCATAAGGGTTAGGGACTCATGCTAGCCATCCTGCCAGCCAACTGGCTACAGGGGAAAGGTATGGAAAGAGAGAAGGAAGAGCTAGGGTGCTGCTAACCACTTCCCCTCTTTGGTCTGAGAGCCCCATGAGGAGGCTCTGGGGGATGTTTTAGTCCTGAGCAGTGGTTACAGCCAGTTTCTAGTCCTCATGGGTGGAAGGACAGGCTTGAAAATGTAGGACAAGCCTAGGGAAACCTCAGAAACCAAAATGAGAATATGAGCAGATTCCCTCATGCCTTACAAAACTAATTGTTCCTCCTACAGCTAACAGAATCAGAATAAATTATACAAAATAAAATAACTATAGACAAATGCCTTAATTTGCATAACTATACAAGATTTACAATCCATCTTTTTTTAAACTTAGAAATCTGGTTTTAAGTGGTATGCCGTGCCACAGTTGAAACAGTCAAGAGAGCTGACTGGGGACATCCATGATGTCCTTGCAGTTTTAGGGACCAAACTTGGTGGGGCTTATCTGTAGTCAAAGGAGTCTCCCATGCATGTAAAAACTATGTAGGGGCATCATTATATCTGCTAGTAAAGTGGCTGGCTCCTGTGCCAATCACAAAAGCAACAAACCCATAGACACCATACGGGTATCTACATATTCAGGTTACTCCACAAGTATGTAGAAAAATATGATTCTGTAAATTAATAAAGGGGGGGGGGTTAACCTAATGAAGACTAAATATGCTTCAGAAGCACAGAACACTGAGAGAAGCAGAGACTCAGCTAAAGAGAAAAGGGGATGGTGTATGTGTATGTATGTAATTAGCTTGCTGATGCTCCTTGTAGAATCCTGGGGAGAAAGATCTTGGAGGTGGGGGTTTCCAAACTGTTCTCTAAACCCATGATCCCTCATGGATCCCTCATCTTGAATGCTAGGATTTTAAATTGTTCACATCTATTCTTCTCCTTCACAGAGAAGGTTGTGGAAGCTTTGACGGCTTCCATCTTGGATCTGGTGGAGCTCTACTGTAACACATTTAATGCGGACTTCCAGACTGTGATACATGGGAACAGAAAGCATTATCTTAGCCAAGAGGCCCGGCTCCTTACCTGTCCCCTCTCTTTCACAGTCTATGCCACCCATCGCATACCCATCACCTGGGCGGCAAGGTAAGCAACAGCATTTTTTCCTGGTGATGTTCTTTAGAAATATATGCCTCTTTTCCCCACACAACAATGTGGGCCCATACTGGGTTTGGAGGCCTTACAGTACACAGCATAGTATACCTGAAATTTTAGCTTTTAAAGCTTATTTGGGTAGGGAAATTGGTGCCACATTTAAAGGTATGTGGTATAGCCACCACCTTGACTTGGGTGCAAAGAACAGCAGCAGCAGCTGAATTTTCACACAAACTTCAGAGCTAGTGGTACAGAAATAAATATTTTACTGAATCTATTGTTCTTCAACGTCATTGGCTGTCCCGAAGGCCTTATATTATGGGAAAGAGCGAAACAATTCCACAAACCACCCACAGTCACACCTTTTCCCTTCTACTGCAGAGTTAAAACCAGGAAAGTAGATAGCAGCAAAGACTTAATATTGTAAAGAAGAATTTCTAATGAGACTGGGTTGGGGAGGGGTGTCAGGTGGGAGAAAGGACCAGAGAAAGGCTCCTGCAAGGAGTAGCTGATCTGGATAAGCAGGATTCTGCCCCCCCCCCACCCCTTGTTGTTCAGATTCACTGGAATGCACTAGGAGAGTCCATTGGTCTCAGCACTCCGCCTTCCTGGCTCAGCCCCACAGACAGTGACAGATGGCTGCTTCTCAGCCTGGGCTTATGCCCCTTCAACCAATGACTGTTGGCGGAGGGAAATCACTTAATGGATGTAGGGACAATGAGGAGTCTGGGCAGGGCGGGGATATTCCTTTGTCCGCAGCCTTTGGTTGTGTGTTTGTGTTTCAGTAAAGGCAGGGAGGCAGTGTCTGGGAGGTGCCCATTGGTAATCCACATCCCCAGCAGCAGGAGCCTGCGAGGGGGGGGTGGGGGTAGGGAGGTTATGGTAACATTAGCCACCACCCCTCCAGGGACCCCTTGCCTTTGTTCCATCCTTAATGTATTCCAACGAGTGAGTGACTCTGAACAAAACATGAGCCTGGGAAATCCAGGCCTGGCCTGACCTTTGCTGCCCTGTAGCCCTCTCTGCATCATCGCTTGGCACCTGTCACATGGCTGGCCCTTCTGACAGAGCCCCCATGTGATGGCATTCTAAGTGGCGTATGTCAGTCCAGCTGGCTGGGAAGGAAGCAGGAAAAGCTTCTCCCGAAAGTGAACAGCCTAAGGGAAGATCCCACGCTTAATCTGTCCATGTGGGACAACTAGTCTCTCCCAGTCCTCTCCCTTTAATCAACAGTCTGAGCTGGAAATGATTTGATTTCTGTTTAAGAGACACAGTTTCAGCTATGATTCAAATCAGATTTGCTCTAAGTGAATGTAATCAAGACTAAAAAATGGTGCTGACCAAAAATCCCAACCCTGCTGGCAACCTGAACTTTAAAAAGGACTTCATTGGTAGAAACCCTTCAGTCAAAACTCCATGATTGGCTGAGCCCATGAAATGTCTGGGGTTCCAAATAGCATATGCAGGAAGCAAACAGATCTGCGGGAAGCAAATTAAACCATGTAGTAACACATTATTGAAAGTATCCTTCCATACCATACCAAAGACTCAAGTGTGGCTAATAGATTAAAATGCAAATATAAACTATTCTGCTATTTTTCTGTTGACACAACTAAAACAATATAGATGCTAAACCCCCAATGCTTCCTCATTCTATTTCCAGCTCCTCCCTCAACCTAGACCAGAAAAAAGGTCTTAGAAGTCATCTGGGGGAAGAAGGTTTATAGCTGGGGCCATCCACCAATTCAGGGTACTCCTAAGTGTCTAAACAGACTTGTGCATATAGGCCAGACCAAGGCCATCTGGGGTTTGTCTGTCATTCAGTTATTCCCCTAGGGGGAAATCTGGATAGGCTCTTGCTTGGGATTAAGATATGTTCTCACCAGTGAATCAGCTGCTGAGTACGAAATAAATCAAGTCAAAATATCCCTTTCATGTGTTCCTCCTCTTTGCTGTGTGGCTGCCTCTAAGAATGGCAGCAGGCTGCTTTCAGTTTCTTCCTTCAGTCTCTCAGAGATTGAACACACACACACACAGAGTACAAAATAAATCAAGTCAAAATATCCCTTTCATGTGTTCCTCCTTTCTCTGTTTGTGTGATGAAAGAATTTTCTGGTTTTCCCTTTCTGTTTTTTTCTCTCGTTTATGCAGCTATGAAGATTTCTACCTCTCCTGCTCCCTCAGCCATGGTGGCAAGGAGCTATGCAGCCCCCTGCAAACCAGAAAAGCTCATGTATATAAATACCTCTTCCATCTTATCATCTGGGACCAGCAGTAAGACATCTTTCCATTTATGTCCTTATCTATGGAGGAGTAGGTATAGAGAAGAGAGTGGCTCAAGAAATGGAATCTGGTATATCATGTTGGCCAAGAGTAGGTTGTTAGCCAAATTGTCTTATTTATTAATAATTGTGGGGAATTATGAGTATTAAATGGCAAAAGGGCATTAATTATAGGATCATAACCTGTGTTTACAGGAGTTGGAATTCCCAGGAATAGATGCTGAGGCTAGATTGCTAAAGTAATGCTTTCTTTACTAAAGGTTTTTCAAGCATACATACAAAAATCAAGCATTCACACACACAATACAGGGCTAAGAATGCAGACTGGAAAGTATAGAGACGTTTGCATGAGCAGGCAATACTTTACCTGTCTGGTGACCATGCAGCAAAAAATAACAATAAGAGGAAATGGATCGTGAGTTGATCAGCAACACACATGGACTGATTCCAAACCAGCCGAGAATGGAACCAACAAAATCGGGTGGGGGTAGTAGAGGCATGGGCACGAGAGCAAACAAAGGCACAAGGCTTTCCTTATATAACTAAAATGTGACCTGAGGCTAACACTTGTGGTCACATGGTCCCCAGGAGATATTAACAAAACTTAAACTAAGAATGGGGCAGAAAAAGGGATTAATAGTTGGACAACCGTGAATGTAATTGTTTGGCAGGGAGTGACACCTCTTTGGGGAAGGGGATAGATAAAGGAGAGAAGGAAGAGAACCAATCAGGTTGCAGGACTGGTGCTTTGGATTAACGACCAGATGTTTGACAGCTGCATTATCTTGATGGGTAGCAGGAAGACTTGATGGCTCACTATTGTTGTTGCTGGGTACATCCTTTTGTCTTAGGTTGGAGAGGAAAGTGTGCTTCTCCTGGTCTCATTAATACATGAAGGTGGGAGAGGGAATGCCTGCGTGATGAAGAAAGGCGTTTTTCATGGTGTCTGTGCAGGAACATCTTGTCCTTTTTGCAGAGCATGGCTTCCCTCTGTGACTTGCTGCTGTTTCTGCGTGCATGGAGGTCAGGGCTGCTGGTCTGCATTCTGGTGCTGGCATGGCTGCAGAGATGCAGGAGCAGGAGACTGCCTTTAGTCCCGGGGTCCACATCTGGTTTGGCGTGCTGTATAGGCACAAGGCACCCCTTGGCTAAAGTATATTCCATAGTCCAGTGTAAGGGCACTGTTCTTGGACTGCAGTTCTGTCCATTTCCCTGACACCTTATTTTCACAGTTCAGCAAAGCAGTCGTTTTTAAGTCTTTAATAATGCCATCTGAAGTGGCTGCATGGCAACAAGGTGGGAGAGTACCTGTAAAGGGGCACACAGTTCAGTTGTGTGGGGTGGAGAAGGATCACAAGAAATAAAAAATCCCCCACTCAGTATTCCGTGGAGAGCAAAGTTGGATGTGATCACAAAGGGGAATTAATGCTTCTTAGCTGTGTGTAGACATAGGACTCAGTCTGGTACTTGAGTGAGGGAATAAGAATTTTTGAAAAGCTTCTCCCAATGAATGTAAAATGTAGTACACATAGGTCTACTCTTTCAAGCCTGAACACTGATAAGAAAGTACTAGCTGTCAGCAGGAGGTTTCTCCATAGACTGACTAGTCCTTTTATTGTTTGGCCTTCCTTTTGGTCATAGGTTTCTTCTGAAGTGGTGTTCACTCCTAACTGCTCTTTCTTTCAACTTTGTGGGTTTCTCTAAATGATGTCCACTCCCTCTCCCATCTGATTTTGTGGGAAAAGACCACTTCAACGTGATAAGTTTCCCAAATGGGTATCATGTATATATAGGAGAAAAGCATGCTGGTTTCTGTTTTGCCTTCTGTACCCACTATTTAACATGTACACATAACAAGAAGCTGCTGTAGTCTGTAGATTTACATTGCATACACATAGATGTGTGCATGCATCCCATTTAACTGTGTAGGTACTTCTTATAGCTGCCTTGATGGCCCTGATAGGGTGGAAAGGTGGCATAAAAATCATGTAAGTAAATAAATACACAGAGGTGATATCTGAAAATTTACATTATGTGACATCACGTTTAGCAGACACCAGCTTCCCTTCAGACAACATGACTGAGGCTCAAATTACGTATCTATATTTCTATTTCTCAAATATGGCCCCCATCTACGGATATTTAAATATGCAGATCAGGGCCATGCTTACCCAAAATAGATTTTTCTGCAAACATGCGGGGTGTGTGTGTGTCAGTTTGGTGTAGTGGTTAAGAACGTGGACTCTAATCTGGGAGAACTGGGTTTGATTCCCCACTCCTCCACTTGCACCTGGCTGGATGACCTTGGGCAAGCCGTAGCTCTGATAAGAGCTGTCCTTGAAAAAGAGCAGTTTATGTCAGACCTCTGTCAGCCCCACCCACCTCACAGGGTGTCTGTTGTGGGGAGGGGAAGGGAAAGGAGTTTGTAAGCCACTCTGTGACACCTTTGGGTAGTGAAGGGCAGGGTATAAATCCAATCTCCTCCTCCTCCTCCTCTTCCTCCTCTTCCTCTTCTTCTTCTCTTCAAGAAAATACATGTGGTTAAATTCCCCCCCAAGTAAAAGCACAGAGAATGTACCTACTTACCTCCAGGGGTTGTTGGAGCCCACGAGCTGTGCTATGACCAGTAGTAGCTGTGGCAGTGCCAGGGAGCCATACTGGGCCTGGCAGCCATGTTGGCCCCAGTAAGAAAGTCTGTGTGGGGGGGAAGCCCCCCCCCCCAATATCACAGGCCAGCACTTGTCTATATACTAATAACAAAGTCAGCCAAATCTTTGGATATTTAAATCCAGTGACTGGAGTTGTCAATAGGCAAGACAGATTTTTGTACACACCTGAAAAGGACTCCATGTTTGCAGAAAAATGTGAAATCTAAAAAAACCCCAACACTGGGAGGTTTAAAAAACCCAAAGATGATAAAAGAAGTGCCTATAGCTTTAAGCAGCTGATTCCCTTAGTGACTGTATTCCAGACTGGGGTTTTGTGAGTAAAAATGCAGGGTCCTTTCCAGGCCTATTTTGGCCTTTGAGGGAGGACTCATCGGGGCCAGGCCTGACTAGAGTTGCCAGCTTCAGGTTGGGAAACTCCTGTAGGTTTTGTGGTGCAGTTTAACGATGGGAGGGTTTGGGGAGGGAAGAGGCCTCAGCTGGATAAAATACCATCCACTCTACAAAGCAGCCATTTTCTCCAAGGGGATAGATCTCTGTCGTCCGAAGTTCAGTTGCAATTCTGGGAGATATCCTGGTCCCTCCTGGAGGTTGGCAAACCTAGGCCTGGCAGCAACCTCTGGGTTACTTGATACCACCTGACTTGCATGACTCAACTAGACCTGGCAGCTTGCTGCTCTTCAACAGCAGCCACCCTATGAAAGCCAGTGTGGTGTAGCAATTAGAGTTTTAGAGCAGGATCTAGGAGACCCAGGTTCAACTCCCCATCTTGATTTGGAAATTCACTGTGTGATTTGGGGCCAGTCACATACTTTGAGGAGAAAAAAGGAGGAGAGGAGAATAATGTCAGCTGCCTTGTTCCCCACTGTGCAGAAAGGTGGGGTATAAATGATCTAAATAAATAATAGATATAGCTGAACATGGGAAACATCTGACAACTCTAAGGAGAGAAGGAAGCAGGAACAGGGGAGATTCTATGGGGGCTTTCAGGAAAGGGAAAAGGGAAATGAGATGCCTCCCACAAATCCTTGCAGATTCCTGCTTGTTTGTAAATCTAACAGCAAAGTCTGGGCCCCATCTGTAGATATCTAAATCCATAGATTAGGGTCATACTGTCACTAAACCCCCAAGTTTGAAGAAAAATATGAAATGTAAAAAAAATCACATTGCCCCCAAATTTAAAAAAATGTTGTCTGCGCACTTATCATGATTCTGCAGTGGCCATTGGGTGCTGCGGTGGGCCTGGTGGCATCTGAGGTGGAGCCCAGCAGCAGCTACAACGGAGCCCAGGAGTTGCTCTGGACCGGAACAGCTCCCTGCCACCATCGCCACTGCGGCTGGGCTCCAAGGTGAGTGGTGGGGCCTGGAGCTGCACTGAGCTTGGCGATGGGATTCCCCTGCACAAGTTTTGCAGGGGGCCCATTTGTTGCATATAAATACACATAACCTAAAGGGGTTGTGTTTTTTTTGACATGCATTTGTTTTAAAGCATTTTTTGCATTTTTCAAATATTTGAAAAAGTGTGCATGTACACGAAAGCTCATACCTTGAATAAACCTTTGTTGGTCTTAAAGGTGCCACTAGACTCTAAATTTGTTCTACTGCTTCACACCAGCACGGCTGACCACCTAAAAGAGTATACATCTATATCTATACCTATAAAAACTGTTGGAAATTTAGCAGAGTGCATAAAGCGCAGTGGAATAATGCATCACAAGACACATGTGTGTTTAGTTTCTAAGAAAATGCTTTACTAGAAAACATAGGGAAGGGGTTACTCCACACTACACAGTTTGGTGTAGTGGTTAAGTGCGCGGACTCTAATCTGGGAGAACTGGGTTTGATTCCCCACTCCTCCACTTGCACCTGGCTGGATGACCTTGGGCAAGCCGTAGCTCTGATAAGAGCTGTCCTTGAAAAAGAGCAGTTTGTGTCAGAGCTCTCTCAGCCCCGCCTACCTCACAGGGTGTCTGTTGTGGGGAGGGGGAAGGGAAAGGAGTTTGTAAGCCGCTCTGAGACACCTTTGGGTAGTGAAGGGCGGGGTATAAATCCAATCTCTTCTCTTCTTCTTCTTCTTCTTCGATGCTACACTTGTTTACTAGCTACAGAAATATCAGCTTAACCCTTTCATGAGTGAAGGGATGAAACTTGCAAACCCCAACAAAAACTAACAAACCTGTATACTTAAACAGTTAGGTGATAGTGTCAAAAGCCCTCCTGAATAATTCTGCATTGCACCACTTGCAGAATCTTGGCATAGTGGAAGCCTTCCTAACACTTTCGATAAATCAGGAACAGCCACTGGGGGGAAAAAAGACTATTTCTA